AGGCTAAATATGTTCTGGGAATTGGGGCTTCTTGTTCATTGGTTGTTATTAAATCAGATTGCATCAAATGTTAACATGACTCCTGTCATCTATTTTTTCCTCCTAAAAGAACCAACCCAGAAAGCCTCAAAATATAGAACAACAATTTGGGCTACAGGGACAACAGCATTTACATCTTTTTTCTGTCCATCCAACTGTAAGAATTTGGGCTGATTGGGAAGCAAGTGCAATCCTTCTTCCAGCTCTGTTGGCTCCAAAGAGGCCAAATTCAAGAGGATAACATAGCTCATCAGCTTGAGCCCTCTCCAACAAACCCAAAAAACTAAATTACATCATCTGGATGCCATTGTCTAAGAGTTTAAGACAAAAGAGTAATAGTGAGGGGGCAGGAAAAAGTAATAAGGTTGAGAAAGCCAACAAGTAATAAATCAACAGTATCTATAGGCAGTAGCGTACCGATAGGGGGGTGGGAGGGGGCATGGCCCCCAGGCACGGGCCGGGGGGGGCGGGTGCCAACCAGGTCAAGAGGCCGCAGTGCCTCCCGTGTTTGGTGTATGGTCCACCCACCCACCTAGTGGGTTATACGTTTCTTTACCTGTTACAGCCAGAAATTCTGGCTGCCGCCCCCCACCCCTTGAGTCCAATGTGCCACAATGTCAATTTCCCTGCAAAAGTGCCACGGGGTGGGAGAGGGGGCCCTTCACCTGCTCAGTTTGTCCCTGGTGGGGGATGACACAAATGCAAGCACTAGAAACCCATGGTATGCCACTGTCTATGAGGCAACACTCTCATCCTAGGTAGTCTTGGCAATAGTTCTTACTTAATCCTCCTTTTACAGGTAGCTGGCTAACTAATGAGGTCATGCATTCAAATGTTAGCCATTCCTATCCTACCCACTCACATGCCGCATCCAGATGTACAGAGGTGTGCACTTGCAGCGCCACAAAAAGTAGCAGCACAAATTTGTGCTGCTCTTTTGTGCCATATCACATGCCCCTGCATGTGTGCTTTGGTGAGAGACAAATTGTCCCCTACTCTTCTTGGCTCCTGGCATGCTGAAGCAGCCAGAGCACAAATGAAATAGTAGAGACACTCTGGCAGGCAGCAAGAGCGTATCCCTGGAGGACCAAGCCTCCATTTGTTCCAGTGCATGCTACTGTAGCATGTGCCATGCCACTTCGCAGTTTTTTGGCTACCAGGAAATCCTAGTAGCAAATTTTGCCCACATGCTGCAAATCTGCAGCTCAGGACCCATTTTAACATTCCCAGCATGCAGCTTGTGGTACCACAAACTGCATGTGCCTGCATGTCTGGACACAGCCACAGTGTCTTCTCCCGGGTTGAGAGAGTCCATTGGACAAATTCACTTACTGTCTCTAAGGGATGTCTTACTCCAAGGACTCTTTCACCTACCCCACCTGAAGTAACTACAGCTAAGAAGGAAGGAAGGCCCTGTCTAGTGTCCTTCAGCCAGGATGCTGCTTTTTGCAGCTTCAACCTCGTGTCAGCTCTATACACTACTTCAAAGTTCCTGTTTGTTTTGAAAAAGGAATCAGAGTTATAGAGAGCCTCTTATGACAAGTAAGACGCTCCTAACAAAATCCCTTCTGTCCCATAAGCTATAAGGAATTTCATACCCAATTGTTCCAGTACACAGTTTTGGTAAGCAGGACCCTTTACCTGAGGCACATTTGGAGTAGTTCCCTTTATTCTTCCATTGTACACCTGTAATAAGAACATTGTATTACTTTCTAACTCAAAACTGAGCAGTATTTCAACCAGAATACTCAGTCTTGACTACAAAATGGATAGATGATTTCTACAGGTGGAGGAATGGTATGGATATATGTGTCTCCATGTATATCCCATTGCAGGGGTATTCAGTTGCTCAGCCAAGTTTTATGTTACATTTACCACATAGCTTTGTCTACCTCATCATTCCTTCTCTCAGTAATCCATCTCTCTACAAGACTTATCCTAATATTCCCAGTGTCTGAACAGCTTCTAAGAGGTTTACATTTTTTGCTTTTGTCTGAGATGCAGGACAGGCATATAATCAGACCTGCTCCAGTGACAGGTCTAAGAACTTATATGTAGGACTTGTCAATCAGCACCATATTTGAATGCTAGCCTCTTAATCATGTTATAATCCCGTAAAAATTTATTTCAGTCTTCTGTCAGGCCAAACCCAAATCCCTTTATGACAGTACAAAGCACCATTTTCTGACTTAGGATTCTCTAGTCTATTCCTTCTTACTGTATTCTGAATATATTCATTAATAAGACTTTTTTACCTTCTTCTACAGACTATGGGTAGAATTCTATTTCACCTGGTAGACAATCTAAGTGCAGTTTGTAACCCATAATGAGCAATTCTATTAGTCCTATTATAGGACTAGGATTGGTCCCTGGAAATGAACAGGCATCTCCCTATTCCTATAATGGAGATACTAGCCTACCAAGAGGAGGTAATAGACTCATGCCTATACTTTAGTCAGGTAACTAAGAGGTGGCCTCTGAGTAGTAGTAGTATTTTGGTCATCCCTTAGGACCTAAGGAATGGCAGGGAGCTCTGCACTATGGAGCTGGGCTGGCTCTGCCCTTCTCCCTGCCTCTAGGCTAAGCCCCATGACCAGTACCGCCAGTTTCATCACACATGTCTCCCCGTGGCAGTGCAGGACTTGGACAGAGAACCTGGGAACTGCATGTGAGCCCTGTGCAATGGAGCCAGTGGCCTGGCCATGTGCATTCCTGGGGCTCACCAGGACCACGCGCTGCTAGTAGGCTCCACCACCCATGGGCCATGAGTGCCCTGAGGGCCCACCCCCTGCTGCTGCTGGCAGGGGCAGTGCACAATAGGGGGGCATGTGTGAGGGGGGTCACTTGTAGGAGTGACCCCATATGCATACCCTACAACACCCCCCTATGCATACCCCACACCCAACCCCCCCAACACACAGCTCCCCAGCCACAACACCCACATACCATCCCCCTCCACATAACCAGAGCCTCCCATAAGCCCACTGACACATCCCATAAATGCACCCCCCACAAACCCCACGAAACCAATACCCACTCATCCACACATACCCACAATCCCCTACAAACTCCACACAACCACACATGCACACCCACACCCTCTCCAATACCCCATGTACACACATACAAGCCCCCACAAACCACATACGCACCCACCCGTACCCCCATGCCCTTCCACACCCTCCCACAATATAAAGAGTAAGACTTCATGTGAGCTATTATGCAGTTGCCTCTATATACACTATGTAAACATACACAAATCAGAACAAAAATACTTTTTTATATCAAATTAAAATATGTTATAGTAGCTGTTTGATTTTTAGTATTTAATTAGGGTTTTTTTCCAGTTCCAAGACAACAATCCCCCTCCCAAAAGTAGTACTTCCAGGGACTTCCAGCAGCAAAGGTCAGGGGTTAGGGTGGGGCTTCTGGTCCCAAGATTGCAGCCAGGGGATGGGGCTCCTCTCAAAGGGCAGGGCTATACTCGTGACCCTGGACAGCTTACCAAAACTCATTAAGCAGCCCTCCAGCCAAAATAATTGCCAACTCCTGTCCTAGGTGAAACAAAATTCTGCCTTATATTAAATACCCCTTCCGACCCTAGCATCTATGAATCTATGAATACTCTTCTGACGCTTCTTCCTTCAAGTGTCTCCCTATATCCAGCAGACTTCATAGAGACATGGCTGTTTGCCGATGTTAAAAAAAAACAAAACACTCTTTACTGAAAGAAGCAGCTCATTACTTCGACCCAGCTTTGCAGCATCTGTATAGATCAGGTGCTTCAGCAGGGCTTTTTGACACTTTTCTCTAAAGCTAAGTCAATCAGCTATTAGATAAAAGCACCAAAAAAGCCCTACTAAAGTGCCCAGTCTATACAGACATTGGGTGAGCCAGGTCCAATTAACACACTGCCTCTTCTGGGCATATGCTAGGCTCGGCACAGGAGCATGAGGAGTTTAAAGTAAAGCACCAGGGTTTTTGTCTTTGTTTGGGGTGGGGGGAGGTGTTAATGTCTGCAAGCAGTCAATATGCTGTTCCTTTTAAACTACATTTGTAAAAGTTTGGTACTTTCTTAAACTTTGGCATCATTTATTTCTAAGCCTCTTTCTCCCCTATCTCTTTCCCTTCTTCTCTTTTATCATTACATTGGGTACAATGAGTTTCTACACCATTTACAAGCACAGGTTTCTGTAGGTGGTAATTATTATTGGACCTCTCACATTTTTCCTGAACCATCACAGACACATCACCCCCAACACCACCACTACATTGTTTACAGTGTTTTCATTTCCTTTTTTAAAGAAAAAAATAATGAAAGTGACTCAATCTACATTCAGTTCCTGGAATAAAATGTTTCTGATAGACATTTGTGAAACAAAAAAGATTTACAGATTATACAGTAAAAGGTTAGAGCCAGAACACTTTTTAAACTACTCCTCCAGACATCCTAATGAACTTGTTACTCAACTTGTTTTGCAGCAACAGATGGGATTTTATCTTATTTAACCCATGGACAAGAACAGGAGAAAGGCAGAGCATATTTATGGATGGTTGGTCTTTCCAAACAGCATTGTAATGATATTATCTTTTAAGGACTATGACTCATTCTTGTAAGACTGAAGAGGTGCTGACCTGTATCAAGAGAACCAGTGTTAGTCAGGCAACGACAAAAAGAACATTGTTGTCTTTAGAATTTAAAATCTGACCGATAATTTCCCTTAATCAAACTAAAAACAAAAAAGAACTAACAGTCCAGATGACTACATTTTGAACCGCGGAGGCTGGGGTTTCCAGAGAAGATGGAAGGAATTAGGAGGCGCCCTCCCTTTAAGATGAATTTCCCTTTAATAATTCCAGCCTATTAAAAACATGCAAACAACTACTAAACTGGCCATTTGCAAATAATCCATGTTACCACAATACTCAGACTATTTTCCATACCCAGGAAAAAAGTCTACTGCTTCAATGCAGTGAGTTCTGATATTAATTGAAGTATGTGATAAAAAAGGGCTGAAAGGGATAGTGAAAAAATTGAAGGAGAAAGCCTGAGAGACCTAGGAAAGAAATTTAGGAGGTACTGCAAGGAATATGGTAAATATTTTAAGTGCAGATACAAAGTATTATGTAGTATTCTTTATTGCATTTAATACTATTCACACACCCTGTGAAAAATATTGTTTTACTTTCAGTAAACCAGAGGGAATCCTATACAAATCAGTCCAACAGCATTAGAAGTTATTCATGCTGGGCTGGACTGAACTTTTAAAATATGATCAAAGTAAAAAGCAGAGTATAACTGCTCCACCCCAGCAGCAGCCTGGACACTGGAGAAGGAATGAGACTTCAAATCATAATTTCTCCCTTCTTGTTCTTGGGAATGATAGAGGGCCAAAGTCTTTGAAAGTCTGAAGCTGATTTCCCTTATCCTCTTGCTACTCTTTGCCAGTGAACTGCAGGCTGGGAGGGGTAAGGGAACAAGAGAGTCAAGGTTACACCCACTTCCAGTCCACCAGAGACCAAGGACACCTTCAGGTAGGCTGAGCAAGGAGGTGGGGCTCTCTTTTCCTTGGCAACCACAAAGTAAGACAAGGGCACAGCCTAGCCTATTAATGAACAACACTATTTTAATGTCCCTGGTAAAATATTATTTAATATAATATTATCTAGAATGAAAATATAAAGGGCAGGGCAATGAAACAGGGAAGAAGGGCAATAACTCTTCTGCAACTCTACATCTAAGAGAGAGAAAAGCCCTGGTTAGATTCCCCTACAGATTTTGCAGTCAGTAGGATTCAGGACTTCAGGATTAGGCCTCATCTTGACTAATATTGCAGAAGTTTTAAAGAGTCATTTGATGACAGCTCATCTCCTGTTGATATTGCAAGTCTGGTAAATAGAGTTTTTAATAACCCTTTTCAATTTATTTGCTGGCAGTCAGCCTGGAATGGTATCATCTGCATTAACTAATAGTGTATGTTTGGAAGTGGAAGTCAATTTAGATTTTCTTTTTAATATGCCAGTGATATATCAATGAAATCCCTACTGCTCTGATGTCTAATGTCTCCAAAAGCTCCCCAGTGGGCTTCTTCTCTGCCCCAATGTGAAACTATACCTTAAAAATGAGAATCTCTCTTACAGTTAAATATACACATTGTATATTGGTTCTAACCAGTTACACAAAGTTAATAGTTAAAGGGAAATGCAACTCAAATATAGCCAGGAACTAATATGAAATTCAAACTTCCTGATTTCTCTTAAAAACCCTTTCTAACTGAGGGTAGTCACATAAACTGCAAACAATATCCCACTGGAGAACATACTTGATTATAAATAATTTCCTACATCAAAGAATAACAAATTACTTTGATGCATTTTTAAAGTCATTTTTTTTCAATTCTCTAACATTTTTGCCTTGATCATATGATAGGAGATCATTAAATGGTACAGAACACCTTGCTTGCATTTGCAACTGTTATCTTTACTGAGGAGGTATTAACCTTTCTGCCCCTGGAGATATCAGTATCAGTAGCATCCAGATCAAACAAGCTCAGTGAAAACCACCAGCCCAATTTATAACAGTATATATTCTTTTAAGGAAGAGTTCTGATTCAAAATAGTGCTGTCCTTCTGCCCGCCCAACTCTATTACCTACCATATCAACTAAAAATTGTTTCTATGTGAACAATCAACAAAACAAAAGCGTCAAAAAGCAAAGTAACTGACTGACTATTAATCACATCCCTTTGATAACCCTGACCCTAGCAAAGCATAACATCTGTCTTGTGTTTTTTCTGGCTGAGAGCCAAAGCTAGGATCAGGAAACAACTATTTCACTGGTCAGATGTAGCACAGCATGTTGACTTTATAACCACCCAGCAAACTCAGAGAATTTAATGGAACTGTCTTTTATTTGGCTGAGTTCCATCTATTAATATAACCAGAGTGAGTAACTCATATGATTAGACATTTACTTAAAGCCATGTCTAGACAGACCCAAAGGTGCCCACTCCCTTTTCCAAAATGAAGCAAGATTTGAAGCTTGAGAATAGGATAGCCACAGAAGTTGCCTAAATTCTCACTAAAAATATTTCTATTAGGTACTGTCAGTGTAGATACCTGAAACAAGAAATATAGAAAAGAATTGAGTTAGCACAATGTGCCACAGAAAATTTAAATATCTGGACACCTATATAACCTTAAATGTAACCTTAGCATCAGGAGCAAGAGAGAAAGTGTGTCAGAGAAATAATGAAATCAGAACAAAAAGGAGAAGGAAAAGTAGAAAGCCAACAGCAAACTTAATATTGGAACTTCATTATTAATAGATTTAGTAACAGCCCATTATTTGGTCCCATTATGGGCATCCATTAATCATAGGAAGTTTTATACCTGCAAAACATTTCATTTTCACAGATATAAACAGTCTCTGGGGTGATAATACTATAACCCCAAACATTTTGTACCAGGATTTGCTGTACTTTATGTAGGTGATCCCAGCACCTAGTTTACTGGGTGATACTGGGTACCTTCATGGAGTCAGTGGCATGGTATCAGAGACGATACACAAATGCTGTTGAAACAGCCATCCCAGATATAGTCTCCATACTTTGCAGGGTGGCAGTAGCTGATAAATTCATTAGGTCTGCCTCTCTAGCCCCTTTTGCCACCACGCTGCCCTCGATACCACCTGCACAACAGCACATATGCAGCCATCACAGATGCTTACCTGACACATGCTCCTGAAATCTTCCCCAGATGTACACCAGATTACTATGGACCCCTCCATACGTTCAGGTAGAGGCACCTCTTTCCTTGCTTGGAACACTCTAGTCACCTATACCTTCAGGTAAAGACAGATGCGTGGATGACAGGAGGCAAGATTAAGGGATCCACCATCAGAAGCTATCATGCCTTATTGCCAGTTTAGGGGGAACCCAGGATCATGATCCGGGGCTCCCCCTGCACCAGCTTCTGCTCCAATTCACAGCAGTACAGGACACCCGTCTGCAGCAGCCCATGGGATGATGCTGTAGCTAGGAGTCCCCTCAGCTGCAGGACTCCTAGCTGCTACAGCACATGGTGTACCCCCCATGGCTGGGAGCCCCTTAGCTGACATGGCTCCCAGACAAAGGAGGTAGAGCGATGTTACACATGCAAATTAAAGCTGGATAGAAACGAGGTATAAAGTTACTACACATTTTCCAGCTCTACCTTTATACCTGGTTGGACCTTCTCATGGTGTGATAGTTAATTTGCACATGTGGCTGGTCTAAATTAACTGCACAATTAACCCAGTAATTGAGTAATACATTTATGGGCAGAGAAGGCCTGTGACATAGAACCCTTCCCCTCAAGACACACACAGACCTGCAGGTTATGAACCAGATTCAGAGAATGTCCTCCACTTTATGCTAAAAATTATTTCATTGTAATTTGAGCTAGCTGTGTAATTTGTGGTGTGTAAGTTGTGCTAGATCCCTCGAGTAAACTGAATTGTATTATAAGGTCATAATTGAATGGTCATAATTAAACTTAATTTTATTCTTCCCATAGAAAATTGTGATTATTTTTTACATTAATCATCAATGAGCAATTCCTTTTTTTTATTTATCCCATATGCTCATTCAACTTCTCTTTGGCAGCCCTGGCTAAATGAACTACTCAAAGTAATAAAACATGAGAAGCAAAAAATATCAACTACTGATCTTTAGCAACAATAACGTCTGGTATAGTATTTTAGCAGTCATCAGTACATTTTGTAATTGACATCATGTACATGTAATATCTCCAAACAATTCTACTCATTAATCAAAGTGACTTTAAATCACTTTGCACATTTATACATGTGTTCCGGCGGTGGGATGAGGGTGTTTTAATTAGAACGGCTCCAAGAACTGCTCTAATTAAAGCACCCAGAGCGTCACGTGTATCAGCATCCCCATGCTGAAAAATAGCAGCGGAGGAACTTTAAGCTCGTCAAATGAGCTCTAGTTAAAGTGCCCCTGCCACCATTTTTCAGCTTAGGGATACTGATACACGTGACACTGGAGTCTGCTATAAGGTGGTAATTACCATGCTCCAGACTCAACTAATTGAGTTTTCTCTGACATGCTGTAATTACAGCGTGTTGGAGCTGCCTTGCTGCTTGTGCATAGGCATCCTTCAACACAATAGTCCAGAGTACTTGTGATTACAGTTAGCATTATTGTTAGAGGCAAGGATTTTTTTGGATGATATCTTTTATTGGACCAACTCTATGGTTGGAAAAAGTTAGACAAACAAAGTTAGACAAGTTTTTGAAGTCCAGGCATTCTTCATCAGGTCTGAGAAAAGAAGCCAGCACAGTGATTGCTGACAGTTAAGAATGGAGGGGTGGGGGAGGAGAGAAATCCCCAGGTTAGTAGGCAGACAATTAGTAGTAGAAAAGAAGCTTGAATACTGGGAGATCAAGAAAAGGATCTTGGAGTCATTATTGATGCCAAAATGAACATGGGCTGACAGTGTAGGGACGTGGTCAGGAAGGCCAGCCACACCTTGTCATGCATGCACAGATGCATCTCAGCAGGTTCAAGGAGGTGATCCTCCCCCTCTATGCGACACTGGTCAGGCCACAGTTGGAGTACTGTGTCCAGTTCTGGGCACCGCACTTCAGAAGGGACGTGGACGACATGGAGAGGGTCCAGAGGAAGGCCACTCGCATGATCAAGGGGCAGCAGGGCAGGCCCTGTGAGGAGAGGTTAAGGGACCTAAACCTGTTCAGCCTCC